AATATAGTCACAAACGTAGCCCAAAACCCCAAAACCCCAAAACCCCATGAATCAACTTTAAATTAGATTGATTGAAAAATTAAATTTAATTAACTTATGATTGATTAATTACAGTTTTGTTTCTTAGTCATATTTAGTGATTCTGAATTTTATCATTCATTGATTTTCTATGGTATTTCAAATCATAATCTATCTCTTCAAAGTTTTCTTGCCATAAGGTTAATTCCTAGGGTATTAGGGACGTTTCTGATCCCACCTGGATTAACCAGCTGATTATAAGTTCTTTTCTAATTCACTCTGCCTAAGTCATTCCTGTAATACTCAAATGAATCATTATTAGTAGTCGTTCTCATCTGCATTCCATTCATCAATGAGGGAGCACTGTTAACTCTTGATTTGTCATTATAGTTTTGTTATCCGTTTCTAGGTGCTCTTGACTTATTCGCAACTGATCTATTCATCATATTATCTTGTGACATTAGATTTGGAATTTGTCTTGAATCTCTAAGATTAGTAGGTCTGCCCATAACTCCACCCATATAATGGGCATTTTTAGATGATGAGCTCAATTTATTACTTTCAATTTCGTGCTAACCCTCTCCTCTATTTTTTATCCCATACTAATTGGTAAGATTTCTCAATGGATCACCTTTTTAGTTAAGATTGGTTTGAGGAAGAATAATAGGAATGGAGCTTACAGACCTATCATCTATTTAAGGCCTTAAATTATTATTGTTAAGATTCATATTTTAGTTTTGATAATTTTCATTGCGACCCCTCATATTTCCATTTTATTGCATCAATCTTGAATTTTAGTTCTTAAGATCTTGGCATTTGGCTTTGAGTTCTTGATTTTCTCTTTATAAAATTTGATATTTTCTCTCTAAATCTTGCACATATCATTTGTAATGGATATCTTAAAACTATTGATTATTATTATTATAACTTGGGTAAAATTTTACTCGTATAGCATGAATTACTTTGCCTAGCAAATGAGAGGGCTCTGTTAAGTTTGTTTGGATTTTATTCAGCTAAAAATCTTCAACTTCATAATTTTTACTTAAGATTTGCTTTCAAGGTCGAATATCTAAGACTGAGGTTTATTGCACAGACTACAGTTTTGCTCTTCAAACAACTCATTGGGATCTAAAGAATAATTTATTCCTTGAAATTTTATACAGTATATCTAGTAGCAAGAGTCACAGAAGAAGCATCCACAATCAATCATAAAACTGCCCATTTTTTCTAAAAACGAAGTCAGAACAGAAATTAATGAAATATTAAATGCATCTTACAGTAGCAAACATTGCATTTTGGAATCTTAATAAAAGGCTTTTAGGCATTGCTATTGTTTCTTTATTTCGTATCAGGATCAATAATCGGTCTGTAGATAGGCGGCCTAAAGTTTTACTGGTTGTTATAGTAGTCTGGGGAATTCTGCTGATTGTTGTTCATTTTCGCTGTAATCTTAAATAAATCCTTATAAGTTTTAAAATCAAATGAGTTAAATTTAACAACTATATTAATTTTTTTATTTTATCAATGAAGTCAAATAATTCTGGAGTTCCTAACTTGTAAATTACTTTGTCCCCCAAAAACAAATAGAGACTTAGACAAGAGTAAGTCCTCATCATTTTATCTTACATTTCGATTCGTATTTGATAATTTATATTAATATTCTTCATAGGAACTCGTAAAATCAGGTGGATTACATATACTAAAGTGTAAACGAAAGATCTCAGAATGAAAATGACAAAAATAGCAAATCAGCTCATAAGCAGCAGGTTACTTTTGATTCGTAGCCTCCTCATGTAAAGGTTATAACTATACCTTAGAGGACCACAGGCTCCAACTTTAAAGAAGGGTCTTTTGGCTAGAATTAGTCAAAAAATATCGAATCCTATGATAACAGATCCTAGCTTAGCACTTTTCACTCATAAATATCCTCTTCAAATGGTCAGCAGCAATTTTAAGAGAGTGAGAGATCACGACCAGGAAACTAAAAAATCATAATGATCAATTAAAAGCATAATACAACTTCTTCTAACTCTCAAAGCAAGAATAGTTCATCAAAGCGTCCGCTGTCCAAGGCAAAAAATGAGCCTCAATCTACAACAAATAAAATGGCAAGTAAAAATATTAACAAAAATAATCAGGCATTTAATACTCCTCAACAGAATTTTTATCAAACAGCTAGCAAAGTCACTGCAGTTTCTCTTTTTTCGCCAAATGAGCTGTCTGTAGATAGATCAAACCAGAATACCTCGCAAACATCCAATATGTTTAAATCTCAAAAATCAAGTTAGAACTAAACTAGCATTAAAAACAAAAGAAACTCTAGAGGATCGATTGTTCCTTATTCTCCTACTGTGTAGTAAATCGTCGGAGATAATCCATTCTCAAAGTAAAACAGACAAGGTTTAAAAACTCCAAGTGCCATGTAAATTTCACAAAGAGATCAGCACATGCAGGCTCATTTGAATACCAGCAGTAATCAAATAAATTTCTAAAGTGCAAGAACAAGGAGTTAGTAATAAGAAAGCTCAGCTACCAGAAAATAATAATAATAAATTTCTACTATAACATTAAAATTAGATGCACCAGTTTTTAATCAAAATCATGAAATCCAATCATCTATTTAGCAAGTAAATGATACCAGTATGTAGTCTAAAACATAAAATCTCCTTGAATAGCATAATTTCAACGTATTCTAGCATTAATACTCTGTCAATCTGGAAGATGAACTAGACAATGCTAAAAGAGAAAGTCTAAACTCGAATGGCCAAATAATTTACAACATCGACACTTAGAGGACTAAAATGAAAAACATAAATACTGATAGAGGTCGTGAAAACACAGGTAAACTCGAGAGCAATTAGTTTGATTTGAGAGATGACGATGTTACTTAGTTCTCTCCTCACTATTCAACAAATAAAAAACTTTAGGAAAACATCTTTAGCTAGAAGAACTTAGACATAGGCAACATAAACGATAGAAATGTGTCTTAGATTAATGTGGTATAAGACAATGATACAAGTTATATGCTTGGCTACTCCTAGGTTTAAATCATGGACCAAAGAAACAATCATGATCATATAGATGATGGAGGTCGAAGAAGCACCTCAACCTTGTTCAGAGAGAACTAATAAACTTACAGAAAGTGCTATCATTGCTCCAGGCAAGAAGATCAAACCAAGGTTTCAAGGTAAACATCACCCATTGGAGTTACTCCGAAGAAATCATAAACTTCGAGATAAACTAGCAAAACACCCAGAAGTAATACTAATTAAAGCTAGAGAAGCATAAGTCCTAGTAATTAGTTTATTAACATCGAAAATTAATTGAAGCGTAAAGCATACTCAAAGTCCCCAGAGAAGAAGTAAATGATCGAAGTAGGAAACCAAACTTAATAAGTTTAGACTGATTTACCAATAAATAATCAAAGTTTTAATACTTATTAATCACCAGGCAGGCAATCTAGGATTAATCTGTTGACTAGTCCTTAGAATAAACAAATAGAAGAATTGCTCTAGCAATCTTTTTCTAATGGTCCTATGGGTAATGAGCATGTCGATAACATTGTAAAATATCTCAATCAAACTAAAACTGATGAGCAAAACTTAAGTAAAATGGTTGAATCAGAGAAGATTTTTGTGATTCAGAGATATGAGAGTCTAATCCAAAAGTTAGTAATTGAGTATAACAAAATTTAAGCTCAGAATAATGAGATAAGAGCGAGCTTTGCCAATGAAAATAGGTCTGTTCAGTCCTAATTTCTCATTATTAATAGTCAAGAGTCGTAAATATAATAAATGAGCTAAAGAATTGCAGAACTAGAACATAAAAATCTGAACAGCCATAAAGAGATGTAACTATTAAGATAAAAACTGTAAGTAGAATAAGATAATAACTATGCTGAGAAAAAGCATCTTGAAATGGCGAAGCAGCAGCTATTTAATTAAGTTGCCCAGCTTTAAGACACTGAAGTCACTTTGAGAGCTAGAAATGCCTAAATCTAGGAAGACAATCATTAAATGGAATATGCTGTTAAGCAGTTGAAAGAGTAATGCATCAAAATAGAAACAGAAAAAAGAGTGTTTGAAATGGAAATGTAGAAAACAAGAGTCTAGGAGTAAAGTATGAATCAAGAATTGAATAGAATAAAGCAATTAAACATAGAATAAGATGCTAAAATCTAAGAGTACAGAAGTCAACTAGAATAACTAGTTTAAACATTGAAAAGAAAAGATTAAGAATTCGAATAGCTGAGTTGGGATAGCTAAGGACTCAAAAGTAGTGTAGATATACTGCATAAAAACTAGCAAGCCATATTACTAAAAAATAATCAGTTGAAGGATGAACTTGGAAAGCTCTAGATTGAGAAATAATCGTATCAGACACAAATCGAATAAGCATTGAATCAGAAAGGCTATCAAGGTTTGAACATGAACAATTTAGAATTGATAAGCAAAAATAACTCACCCAAAGTCAGGTTCAACGAGAGTATGAATGACTATTATTAGCCAAACTCACCAAAGAGAAATTCAACTTCAAGGAATGATGTTAAGTTCTTTAATCCAAATAAGTCTCAAGATGAATCACTTGAACTAAATGTCATGAAATATCTCAATAAATCACCCATCACTAATCTAAGAAAAGATCATGACTTAAGTTACAATCAGAATCTGAGTAACAATAACAAGATATACGATAAACGATTTGTAACTAATGATTCATCTTCTATAAATCAAGTGTTTAAATGGCCAAACACCAAAGATACTAACCTGAACTCATATAAAAATATTAATAACAACAGTAACTTTAATTCCTTTGGAGGATCTGCAGTGAAGAGGCATCAAATCGACTTAGCAAATTTAAACATTGGTATTTAAGATGGAAATTTAAGTTCAAGATCAATATATAATTCTGGTCAACATTCTTAATAAAGATCGCTATCATAAAGTTCAGAACCAGATAATTTACCTGCAGCTGGCAAAAAATCTGGGCTTCATTAGAAGTATCAATAGAGTCAGCAAAATATCAACAACGCTGTAAGTTAGTTGTAAAATGCTATGATTGAGTAGCTACTGAAGAAAACCTAAATTGAAGAAGACTTGAAAGACTTAAGCGGTAGATATCCCAAGTCTAGAGATATCCTTGAGCGAAAGCAAGAACTTGAGAACAATTTAGACATCATTAATAAGAATGTTTTAAACCTGAAGGATAAAATCAAGTCTCTTGAATGATGAAGTGCTTTAATATATTTCTACTATCTGTCTGTAAATTATACTTAATCATAAAAAATTTAATTGCTTGCAGTTCATAAAATTGACCAAGATATTGGGGTTTTGGGGTTTTGGGGTTTTGGGG